GGAAGAGTTTGCTGTGGAAAAAGTGTGGATTAGAAGGACAAATGTAGCCTTTATGGCTAGAAATGCTGAGACATGACAAATAATCAGTAAGTGCTAGGAAAAGTCTTGGTAGATGCTTTAGGCGTCATGTAATCTTGGAACACTGTGAAAAGCACTAGTCTCGAAGCCCCCAAGGTGGCCAACTGCCCTCTTGTGAAAATTGTCTCTGCTCTACGTTCTAACCGGGAGCTCTGCTTATCTCCTGCCAGGAAGAAGCTGGCACAGCGCCTGCAGGATGCAGAGGAACACGTTGAGGCTGTGAATGCCAAATGTGCCTCCCTGGAAAAGACCAAGCAGAGGCTGCAGAATGAAGTGGAGGACCTGATGATCGACGTGGAGAGATCTAATGCTGCCTGCGCAGCTCTGGATAAGAAGCAGAAGAACTTTGACAAGGTCTTTGGGCTCCAGCCCCGGGGCTCCTGGGCAGAGCATGTCCTCCTGACTGCCACCTGCATACTGACGCCCCGTTTCTCCTCAGATCCTGGCAGAATGGAAGCAGAAGTATGAGGAAACGCAGGCTGAGCTGGAAGCCTCCCAGAAGGAGTCTCGCTCTCTCAGCACGGAGCTCTTTAAGATGAAGAATGCCTATGAGGAGTCCTTGGACCACCTGGAAACGCTGAAGCGGGAGAACAAGAACTTGCAGCGTAAGTGCCTGGCCCTCTGCTCCTGGCAGGGCTTTCTGCTGTCCACCACTACCGCCTGCAGCTCTGCAAAGATACTTGTCACCTTGGTGTGGCTGGGCCCTTCTGCTTCAGCTCTGAGCCTGACCGTGCCACTTTTCACCCTTCCTTGCAGAGGAGATTTCTGACCTCACGGAGCAGATTGCAGAGGGGGGAAAGGTGATTCATGAGCTGGAGAAAGTCAAGAAGCAGATCGAGCAGGAGAAATCTGAAATCCAGGCTGCTCTAGAGGAAGCTGAGGTACACACCCACAGTCACTGGTGTCTGCCCTAAAAATATGAGCAATGAGGAAATATGGCTGAAAAATATGTGATCCCCCTCTGTTTGGGCTGGGCAATGCAGCTAGCTGAGATTTCCTGGAATATTTCAAAATCTCCCAGAAAGCAAGCAGTAGCTTTACTGACATAACAAATGATTGTGTCCACTTGTACAGGCCTCCCTGGAACATGAAGAGGGCAAGATCCTGCGCCTCCAGCTTGAGCTCAACCAGGTGAAATCTGAGATTGACAGGAAGATCGCAGAGAAAGATGAGGAGATTGACCAGATGAAGAGAAACCACCTCAGAATCGTGGAGTCCATGCAGAGCACCCTGGATGCTGAGATCAGGAGCAGGAACGAAGCCCTGCGGCTGAAGAAGAAGATGGAGGGAGACCTGAATGAAATGGAGATCCAGCTGAGCCATGCCAACCGCGTGGCTGCAGAGGCACAGAAGAACCTGAGAAACACGCAGGCAGTGCTCAAGGTATGTTAAGCTAAGGGTGTGCACAGAGGTGTCTCTCTTGTCTAATATCATAGAACCACTGGGTCGTAGAGTGACTTGGGTTGAAAGGGACCTTCAAAGATCATCTAGTCCAGGCCCTCTACTGTGGGCAAGGACAAGATCAGACTGCTCAAAGCTCCATCCAACCTGACTTTGAACACTTCCAGTGATGGGGCATCCACAGCATCCTGTCACTGGACACCAGGGAAAAGAGATCAGGACGCCACTGTCCATGTCCCCTCCTCAGGAAGCCGTAGAGAGCAGTGAGGTCGCCCCTCATCATCTTTCTCTTCAAACTAGACAAACCCCATGTCCTCAGCTGCTCCTCAGAGGACATGCCTTCCAGCTCTTTCACCAGCTTTGTTGCCCTCCGTCAGATGCATTCAGGCCCCTTAACATCCTTTTTCAGTTGTGGAGCCCAGAACTAAATGAAATGCTTAATACACTAGGAATTCAGCTCCAGCTGTGCCTTAGCCTTCCTGATCCTACCCCTCCACATCTGGGCAGCAGCTTTATGTTCTTCCCAGGACAGGTGTCTTTGGTTCTACTGCCTATGCATACTCTTCTTACACTTTAGTTTGACCAGGAGGTCCATACTCAGCCATGCTGTTCTCCTGCCTTCCTTGCCTGATTGCTTACACATGGGAATTGGAACTCCCATGCACTCTGGCACTCCAAGGCAAGTGTTCTTAAAGAGCAACTCTCTTCTTCTCCATTAGCCCTGAGGACAGTTTCCCAGGGGGTCCCACCCAGTAATTCCTTCAACAACTGAATGTCTGCTCTCCTAAAACTTAGGGTCTTTATCCTACACTTCATCTGGCCCATGTCCCTCAAGATTGTGAATACCACCAGGGCATGATCACTGAAGCCCAGGCTGCCAACAGTTTTGGCATCTCTAATCAGTCCATCTGTATTGGTAAGCAGCTGGTCCAGTAATGCTTCTCCTCCACTTGGGCTGTTTATGCCCTGGATGAGGTCTCCTGGACTGGATGGAGCGTCCTGCACTTCTTACAGCTTGCTGTGATGCTTTTCCAGCATATGTCAGACTGATTGAAGTTCCCCAGCTGGATCAGAGCCTTTAAGCATGATGCTTCCCATAGCTGAAGTAATAACACTTCACCAACAGGCTCCAATTTGTCAGCTGGCCTGTTGCAAACACCAGCCACGAGGTTTCCTTCGTTGGCGTGGCCTCTAATTTTTACTTATAAGCTCTCAACCTGGCTCATCACTGTTTTTCAAAGACACCTCTGTGCAATCAACCCATTTTTCACATGGAGGGCAACCTGCCCACGTCTCCTTCCTTGCTTGTCCTTTCTGAACAATTTACAGCCATTGATTGCAGCGCTGCAATCCTATGATTCATGCCACCAGGTTTCAGTAACTGCAGTTAGATCGTAGCTTTCTGGGTGCACAGCGGCTTCCCAACTCCTCCCATCCCTTACCCATGCTATGTGCATTGATATAGAGACACTTAATTGGGCAATCAACTGTATTACCTTTTAGGGGAACAAACCCTAATTCCTTTGGAACCTTCAACAGATGTTTCCCCATTGCTTCCTAACATATCAGCAGCCCCTGGCTCTTCTCCATTACTCAAAACTCCAGGTTAAAGCTCTGGCCAGCTTGCTGCCAAAGAGCCTCTTGCCCACACTTGTTCGGGTGAATCCCGTCAGCTCCCAACAGACCGAGCTTCTCATAGAAGCAAAAACCTTGAACATGGCACCAGCTAGACAGCCAGGCATTCACCTGTTTAATCTTTCTCCTCCTTCCTGAACCCCTTCCTCTGACTGGGAAGGTAGAGGAGAACACCACCTGTGCTCCATATCCTTTTGATATTGCTCCAAGGGACATACAGTCTCTTTTGATGCTTCTACATTGCCTTGTTGTAATATCATTAAAGCTTACATGGACTAGTAGGAGCAGATGATAAAATGAAGGGCTGACCAGGCTTGGCAGCCTCTCAGTGACATCACAAATGAGAGGGAGCTCCTTGTGGGCAGCAAACTTCTCTAGAGAAATTGGATGGTAAATGGGTGTTTTGGTTCCTCTTAGTAAGGAATTTCCAGTTCCTAATACCTTATATAATAATAAATTACGGGCTTTACCTGTGGCACTGGTTCTAATGCGGGTGGTTGGATCAATTTTACAGGGTTGACTATTCCTGGATCCTTTTCTTGATCATGGGCTCTTCATTTTTCAGCCCCAGAGCATTGACTCTGTTATGAAGCAGCACTTTAGAGGATGGGGAAAGGTTCTTTCATATACATTTTATCTATAAATACATATATAGATATATTATACTGACATAGTAATTATTAGACTGGTGGTAATTGCCATTCTGTAACCGTGTTGTGCCACCTTAGAATTTCTCTTTCCTCTCTTTCCAGGATACCCAGATACACTTGGACGACGCTCTCAGGACACAGGAGGACCTGAAAGAGCAGGTGGCCATGGTGGAGCGCAGAGCAAACCTGCTGCAGGCTGAAATTGAGGAGCTACGGGCAGCCCTGGAGCAGACGGAGCGCTCGAGGAAGGTGGCTGAGCAGGAACTGATGGATGCGACTGAGAGAGTTCAGCTCCTCCACACTCAGGTTAGATTCATGAGATTCAAAGTCTCAAGGACCGTTTTATTCTTCCTTTTCCAGATTGTTCGTCTGTGTAAATTCTTAAATAATCTCTTGCCATAAAAATCTGAATCTGAACCAGAGTTATTACCCTTGCTTGAAGAATTAGACTATGGCTAAATGAGTAGGATTCCATTAACGGGAAACAGACGTGCTTTGCAAAATTCTAAGCACTCTCTGCTATCTCACTGAGTATGACCTAACAAGATGCCTCATTTGAAGGAAGATGATAATAATAGATATATCAACAATAAGTTTAAAATTAAACAGTAAGTTTCTAAAAGTTTCTAAGGGTTTTGTTTTGGAACTAACTGGATGATATTATTTGTTGTTCAACAGAACACCAGCTTGATCAACACCAAGAAGAAGCTGGAAACAGACATCGCCCAAATTCAGGGTGAAATGGAGGATACGATCCAGGAAGCCCGCAATGCTGAAGAGAAGGCCAAGAAGGCCATCACAGATGTGAGCTGGGGGCTCCTTTCACTGCTACTGGAGGATGTGTTCTCCCCAAAATGTCTCCAACCCCAAAATGGCTTTCACCCTTTGCTCCCTTCAGGCAGCCATGATGGCCGAAGAGCTGAAGAAGGAGCAGGACACCAGTGCCCACCTGGAGAGGATGAAGAAGAACCTGGACCAGACGGTGAAGGACCTGCAGCACCGTCTGGATGAGGCCGAGCAGTTGGCACTGAAGGGAGGCAAGAAGCAAATCCAGAAGCTGGAGGCCAGAGTGCGTAGGGCTTTGAGTTGTGCGTGAGAGAACGTGTCATGCAAATAAGCAGCACGGAAGCTCCAAAGCCGGGCTTCTCATTGCAGGTGAGGGAGCTGGAAGCGGAGGTTGACGCTGAGCAGAAGCGCAGCGCTAAAGCCGTGAAGGGCATGCGCAAGTACGAGAGGAGGGTGAAGGAGCTGACCTACCAGGTAAGGCAGGAGGCCTCCTTGGGCTGACAGAGCTTTCTCACAAGTAGTCGAATTTTGCACACAGCATCCCCAAGGGAAACTGTTAACCACACATTATGCAGAACCAATAATTCATTCTCTTGCCTGCTTACAAACCACTCTAGTCTGAGGAAGATCGGAAGAACAATCTCAGGCTTCAGGATCTGGTGGACAAGCTGCAAATGAAGGTGAAATCCTACAAGAGGCAAGCTGAGGAGGCTGTAAGTATTTGTTGCAGAATGGGCAAGAGCCACCTTCCAGCGGGGCAGCATGCTCGTTGAGATGAGTACAAATCCCAGGAAAGGGGCCTGAAAGGAACTCCCAGGTCTTGGCCACGCCACGAGGCCTTGCAGAGTTCTGGGCACCCTGCACTCAGGGATGAACTGAGGGAAGCTCTGCGGCCTGTTTGATACAGAAAGTCAGATTAAACAAACCCAGGGGTCGCACCTACTGACTGAGACGTTCCTGAATCTCTGCTACAGACCAAAAGCAGAGGGTTTCAGGGTCTTTCTCAACCTGCTAAGCCACACTGATAGTTGGGCATCAGTAATGGGGGAATAAGTCCAGAAATGACAAATCCAAGTGACATAATTGCTCCTCAGGCAGGACACAGTACCGCTGAGTCTTGTCACGATGGGGCCCTGAATAAGGGAGGATGAGGAGGTCTGTGTGAGGCTTCCGTGTAAGCGGTGATGGGTGGGGGATGGAGGTTTGTGCCTTCCCCCAGGGAAGAGCCGCAGCCCCGCAAGGCCGAGGCACAGGAGGAGTGAACCCCCTGCCCTGGGCTCCTCACCACCGACTCCCTCTCCCCGCACAGGAGGAGCTGTCCAATGTCAACCTCTCCAAATTCCGCAAGATCCAGCACGAGCTGGAGGAAGCCGAGGAGCGGGCTGACATTGCAGAGTCCCAGGTCAACAAGCTCCGTGTGAAAAGCCGGGAGTTTCATGGCAAGAAGATAGAAGAGGAGGAGTGAGGATGTCATGAGGCAGCGAAGTGACCTGGGGGATGCACAAAATGTGAACCTCTCCGTCGCTTTCTCCTGCAATGAATGTTTGTAACCATGTCAATGTCTAGAGAATAAAGATCATAGGTTCCTTTGCATACACAGCAGAAGAACACTGCGTTTGGTTGTTACAATTGAATTCTGCACTTATGTAAGTTTGGGGCATTTTCAAACACTTTTTTTTTTCACTTTAACCCTTGGGTAGTAGTAGAGATCTAATTAGCCTATCTCCAGTATTTCTCCATGTGTCCTATTACATTACTGGGTAGGGAATAACACTAATTTAATTCCCATACTGGCAAGAGGAGAGGATCAGGTCAAAGGCAGTTGGAGTATCTTGTCATTCCTGGCACAGCAAAATATGATTCTGCCTTGGGAGTTCTCTTTCTAAATGGGTGCAGTACACAGAGGATCTCTTTGCTGGTCTCACTTTGGCAAGTTGTCTTCTGAGGCAAGTTGCCCCAGTAAAAAAAAAAAAGGAGGAACTCAGGCAAGGACTGAGATGCTGCCTCCTTTGATCAATGCAGGCAAAGGCCACAAACTCTAGAGTGGCTTTTTATTGAGCAAAATTAAGGATTATGCAAAAGTTTCTATTTATGGGAGAAGTTATTGACAATCAGTTCTAAAGCAAAACAAATAATGTATTTGTATAGGAAGACAGTGCATTTCCTTGCTTTCTCTGTTAGGCAGAATAGCCAATATTAAGAGAGAATGCTCCTGTTGTAAATGAAATGGAGATTGATGAAAAGGATGGTAGAAGTAAGTGTGAACAAGAGGACTCACCGTGGGATAACCCCAAGCAGTGTACCTTGTAGAGCCACCAGAGCAAGCTAGGAACTGCTGCAGTACTGTATAGTGTTTTCAGGTACTGAAATATTAATCTAAGTGTATGACAAGCTTTTGTGCCAAGGAACAATGTGGAGTTATGCATAAATACAAAAAGCTAAAGGAAGTGGTTTTGGCCATGTAAGATAAGACTTCAAGTGGGAATAATTATGGGGACATTACAGCTATAAAAAAGTCACCAAATCTTGCACTTTATGGAGAAAATATGCTCCATACACTCAGGATGCAGAAATGTTGCCTTGGCCAAAACGTGTATTCCTCCCCAGTGACAGAAAAGGAGGGGAAGAGAGAGTGAAAGAGAGAAAGAAAGAGGAAAAGGGAGGATGGAGAGATGGAGAGAGAGAGAGAGAGAGAGAGAGAGAGAGAGAGAGAGAAGGAGCTGGAGAGGGAACAGAAACTGAGATAAAAAAATTGAGAAAGAGCAAGATTACGATAATGCCAAACTGCATCCTACCTGTCTGACTGTTGTGGCAATGGATGAGTTGGAATGAAGATACTGACTCCATCCTGGCTGGACAGAGGAAAAACAAGTCACCTACACAATGTGTGTTGGCCTGAAGTCTAAAAACAAATGACAGCCTGTTTCCCGTAAGGCAAGAAGCAATACTTAACATATGGAGCCACCGTTCTGGCAGCACCGGACCCTGGTGCATTGCATAGCTCTAAGGGCAGATTCTACAAGCAGACATCAGGAATGGTAAAGGAGACCTGGCTGTCCTTCACTGCAGGGACACTCATGGGTCCCTCGAGGTTCCCAGCTAGCTCTACACTGCTGCATTCCCAGGAGCTGTGAAGTTGCTGGGGAAGGGAGCTGGACTTGTTGGAGGGGAAGTGGGGAGGAGACAGCAGACAGCAGGAAGGAAGCCTTTTGCACCCACCACAGCACTCAGTTGTTTGCAGCAGCAGCAGCACTGAGGATTAGGAGATCCTCCTTCTCCCAAGCACACAGAGGTTTACACCCAAGGAATCCTCCCATGTTATAACTAAATATGGAAGGTGTTTGCTAGGCAGCAGCTAAATATATTTAAGGAAAAAATGACACCCTGTGTTGACTCCTATGTCACTGTAAGTGATGCTCTTGAGAGACAGCATCTTTATGTGTGAAGCTGTGAAACCTGCACCAATGCCAGCAAACTCTGCGCACCAAAGAAGGAAAACCACCTCTCTCCTCTCTCCCTTCCCACAGTATGCTCCCAGGAAATAGCTGGGATTCTTTCTTTCCAGACAAAACCTTTCTTTCCACACCGTCAAAGGAAGCAGAAGGATTTTGCTTGTACTACTAAAGCACATATTTCTTTAAACAAACAAGCAAGCAAACAACACCAAATGCCAACACTTGATTCTGAAGTCAGTGTATTGCAACTGTGGCTCAGTAAAAGTGTGGAGAAGTATCTCTAGCTTCACAGGCACCTTTTAAAAGCTGCTGACTGACTAACAACTGCCACAACAGCTTTGGGGACCATATTTGGATGCCTAAAACCCATGTCTCCCTGGGACAATATTGGAATGACCATCCAAAATGAGCAACACGGCCTAACTGTGGAAGAACCGTGATGCACCTGAAGCACTTGAAGATGCTAGGGCTCTTCTCTCCTCTGTAAGGCATGATGGATAGAATTTATTCCTAAATGCTCAGATGATGAGAGGTAATGTTGCAGGTTCCTTAAACGACAACATCTTGGCCCCATTATCTACTTCAAAGTGCATGTGTGGGAAATGGAGAGAAGTGCATTGCACTGGGCTGACCTGGCCCTGCCACCAGCCGTCCCAGAAAGCACGACTGCTTGGAATCAGAGTGGAATAGTAATGGGAGGGGTAAGGAAAACTAATTTCTCCTCACTTTGTGATTTGCTGCCTTAGCTGGAGGGCAGGAGTCATTTTGCATTAACACACTATTTCTGGAGTCAGACTGCTTGTGACCTGATAAGTGCTGATGCAAAGGTAACTGATCTTGGGAAAAACATGGGTAGTATCAGACACCTCTTGTCAATAACTTGTCATAATAATGTTCATCATTGCTGTTCTCCAAGCACTTCTAAGCCATACACTCAGGATGCAGAAATGATGCCTTGGCCAAAACATGTGTTCCTCCCCAGTGACAGAAAAGGAGGGGAAGAGAGAGTGAAAGAGAGAATGAAAGAGAAAAAGAGAGGAGGGAGAGAGGGAGAGAGAGAGAGAGAGAGAGAGAGAGAAGGACGTGGAGACAGAACAGAAACTCAGTTAAAGAAATTGAGAAAGAGCAAAAAATGAGAAATGGAGAGGAAGGAAGGAAGGAAGGAAGGAAGGAAGGAAGGAAGGAAGGAAGGAAGGAAGGAAGGAAGGAAGGAATTAACATAATCTAATTTTTGTTACTTGACCTTGTACTTTGAATCTGCTGCTTTTGTTCATCTGTGAGAGCATTTGCTTGTTATGACATCAGCCCTTTTCAAATAGTTTGGACACAGTTCATGTAGCTGCTTTTCCTAGGTGCAGAATTGTGTCTTCAGTGGCCGTAGGTGTGATAAGAGGAACACAGGGATGCAGGGAAGTTGCTTGGGAGTGACTGTCATAGCTGTACCTACACTCCAGAAGGGGAATCCATGCTGCTCTTGTGAACCCACTGTCCATCCACCCATTTCATGCCCATTGCCTTAGTACCTCAGTGCCTGTCTTGCTGGGTAAAAGAGTGCCTTGGGAAAGAGATGTGTTTTCTGCATCTCTGCTTTGTCCTGGCACTGAAGGAGAAGCAAGCAGGCAGGCTGTGTCTGGTTCCTCCTCACACCTCATGTCCTTGTGAGTGATAGTGCCAAAAGAAATGGCTGAAAACACTGAAGGGAGATGCACCTTGAAAAAAAACTGAGGTACTGGTGGGGACTGGGAGGGCAGGTAGAGTGTGGGATGCTCCTGGGAGAGCTTAGAGATGAGGTTTACATATTGAGCACTGCATGACATACCACTACTTTAGATACAGAGTTTAGTTTTTAGATACAGAGAGCCTAAATGTGACGAACTTCATGGCAGACACACTAGTAAGTGAACAGAATATTAGAATTTAAGCTAGGCAGGAAGTTCTTGCATGCTTCAGTGCTCTTGGAAATATTCAGAATTTCCTTCTCTCTTGGTATGTGAAATCACAGTATTCCAAACCACTTTTTTAATGTTCGTCCCATCCTGAAAGACAGCTGCCTTGGGTGGCCAAAAAGCTGGCCTTAAAGGATGGACTATGTCCATGACTCCACACTGCAATGCAGAACCACTGAAATCAAACAAGGAAACCCTTAGGATGAACACAGAGAAAATCTGTTTTTCCTAGGGGTGATTTGAGATTGTGGATGAACCCTCATGGAAACGAAGGGAAAATGGGCATCAAAAAGATAACATCAGATAACCCGCAATATTTCTGTATGGAACTGCATGCACCTTACTCTGTTGTCGGGAGGCATTCTGCGGTGCTCAAACTGGTGTTTGGATCATAAATAATCTGTGACAGTATCTAAGAAGGGTACAGCCACAGCTCAGAAAAAGGATGATGTGCATGTTCCTTCTTTTCATAGCATTCAAAAGCAAGACATCAAAACCATATTAATCAGCTAACATTAATTAATTGCTGCTGTCTGTTAGCATTTACAACTGATCAAGATGTTCTCAGACATTTTTCTGGGGGAGTAGTCACTTTCTCAAGCTTACACTATACTAATAACCCCTATTTCCCTTTGCACCAAATCCTTCTCCTTCTTCAACTCCTTCTACCACCTGTTGTCTCTCCTTTTGCCTGTTCTACCCTGAGACCACCTAGCCTTCTCAGCCCACTCACATGCTCTGTAACAGGAGCTCCTCAGCTGCTTTGGTGAGTGATGGAAAGGGCATTCTTAATGTCATGTCCTCATCCAGGACTCACTCTCCAGTTCTCATCCATTGATGCTTGCTGGAAAGATAGGAGGAGCCTAAGTAACTGTGCAACATTGACATTAATTCAGCACCTGGCCAGGTACTATATCTTACCTTCACAGTTAAGTTGTACTGAGATAGCTTTGGAGTCCCAATTTCTCTCTTCTGCTCTCTCTTCTGAAAGAAATTATAAGTGTGAAACATTGTATGTATTTATGTGGCAGACTTCTCTATGCCATTAAGCTATACCACAAATGCATTGCAAAAATTAACTTTGGAGCAGAGTCAAGAGACTACCATTAGGAGACAAAAAGATCTTCACAGTCTCTCCATGCTTTGGTGCATGGGATGGGATAGTCTTCATGAGTAAGTTCTAGCCACAGAAAAGATAGCTTAC